CTTATACAGCAGACGATATGTGTCTGTGTTTGTGGTTGGAGACTCCTTCACCGGCTACAGGCTCCTCATTTGCGCGTGTTGTGAAATACAGTGCTGAATGAAAAATCGGGGCAATTTGATAATAATAGCCGAATTATAATGGACCGCCTAATAATAATAATTATTATTATTATTATTAATACATTAATAGGAGAATGAGCCTAATATCATCTTGACTATCGACAAAGACATCTACTATCGTCGATATCTCTGACTATCGGCACAACCCTAATATATATATATTGCATATATTTTTTTAAATACTATTTTACCTCTTTTATTTACTTAGTATAGAGACCTGAGGGTTGGCTCTGCTGACTTACAGTATGCCAGCCACTTTCTGTGTTTTCCCTGCCTGCATGGCCTTGGTTACATCAGCTGAATAAAACAGTTGTTTCAGAGGTGGAGAAATTTCTTATTATAATGAGAGATTGTGATTCTTTAAAATATCATGTACTGATGAATCGTGTACAATAAGACCAGGGACTTTTATATAGTGAGTGGATATAAACTAATTACCAGCCGTTGCACCTCTCTGTGGCCGTGTGTCCGAGTTTCGCGTGTGTGAGCACAGAGAGCTTTATGAATATGAAATGTGCTGCACTGTGATGATGACTCAGCTTTGGTTCTTCAAAACGCCTTGATGTCTGAGGGTGCGAGAGAAAGACATGCAAACTCGTCCCTGTTTTCACGGCCCTGCACCCACCTTCCAGCCGTCCAAGGAGATCTGGGCTCAGCGCTTTCTGCCAGTTGCATCACGTCGTAACTCCCCCTCCCACCAGCCTGTTTATTTACTTTCATATTTGTGTCCCCTCGCCAACACAAGCCATCTTGGTGACAGGAAATCTCTTCCCTCCTGCCAGCTCCTTCAGCTCTAATTCACTTATTATAGTGCTTTTCAAAAAGCTAATCAATGTGGGAGAGCTGATGCAAGATCATGAGAGAGAGGCTAAACACAGGGCAGGACTGCAAACTTTCAGGAGCTGATTGCGACAAGACCAGCTCTTTATATCATGCAGCTGTATAGCTGCTGCATTCTCCGTTTTATGTTACCGACAGCCACGTTCACACACACTTGTTGCTAGCGATTTTCCTCTAATTTAGTTGTTATTCTGCATTTAAACAATTGCCGTATTTGCAAACAAACACACAGATCAATGTTGCATGTGCCAGTGAATGAATGCCCTTTTTCTTCTCTCTCTCTCTCTCTCTCTCTCTCTCTCTCGCCTCGCATTCGTAAAGCGTTATAACCCCAGGCCAGTGTTAATTACGAGTGTTGTGTTTGTGCCCTGTTTGTGTGACCTTCCCATGTAGGCCGATTATGTGTTTATCGCTCGTATAGAGGCCGTATTGATCAGTCAGTGGGGTACAAATTAAGATTTCAACTTGACATCACGCAATCTATTGAATTTTGCATTGGAGGCATTTGCAGTATGCAAGATTCATTGATTAAGATATATTTAACTGAGTGAATGTGGCTGTGTGAGAGTTTATGGGAGCACGTCTTCAGGCAGTCTTTATCTTAAAGGTCAAAACTTGTGTTGTTTTGTTTTCTAAAAATAACATTTATTTTAGCATATT